ACTCCGTCATTCCCAACACAGTCAAAGAGGAATAGTAAGTTAACACATGCCCACAGTATCGATCGCCTTCATGACTCGGTAACGGAAAAGCGCTAGCTCGATACATAGCTCATGTCCTGACCGATAGCATGCGGTGCGCCCGGGTATCTATTTGTCAGTCTCTCCTTCTCCTCCCACAAAGAGTTTCTGGTGGACCTAGTTACTGAAGATGAAAGCTGGCTCCTCTACGAAGCAAACAAGCAACGCGCCATCTGACTTCTGTGATAAGGACAACCATCGACGCAAGCCAAATCCGGTCTCCGCCCCAAGTTCTCCTTTCCTGCTTCTGGGATTCAAATGGATTGCTGAACTACGAACTGCTCAAGCAAGGCTAGACCATTACAAGAGCTCCCCATTGCCCTGCTTATTGTTAACTACGGGAACTTGCAGAAGCCGTAAGAGAAAACAGCTTGGACGAGCTTTTGTGCACCTTCTCCATGAAAACGCCATACCACACATAAGACCGGAGAGACCCGTGCAAAACCGGAGATACTAGGCTGGGACACGGTTTACATACACCCTGCTCACATGACACCCCCTTGATTACAATTTTTCGGCCTCTCAAGGCTTTGCTAGCAAAAAAACCAGTTCATCAAGTATGACCACCTTGAACAAGTGGTACTTTTTGACTGTCAACCTTCCCAGTTAAATCGCTGACCCTTCCTTCTGGTGGACAATGTTATAACAAGGTTACTGTGTTGTTGATTAGCTTGCATTGTTTGCTGGATTGTAAAATAAAACAGAGGAAGTTTAAACCCTATCCAAACATTCTGATAAACCCTGCGTTTTTACTACTAAACAGAAAGTGACAGTCATAAGACAAGATGAACATTGATGAGCTCAATCACCATTATTTGCTTGTGAGCCTTGTTTGGAATAGCCAGATATCGTGAGTGATACCAAGAAACTAAAAAACGTGATTGTTATTTACATGAGATCCTCAGAGTTGTAAATAAGCATATTCAGACTGCCATTTACACAGGAGAACACACGCTGGCAAAACAATCTGACCAACCATTAGACACTTATGAGAAAAACACGTGTGCAACAAGATGAGTAGTGTTGAAAAACAGTCAAATTGAAAGGAATGTTGATGCGTTCGTGTTGTCGCAGAGTGCACAAGAAAATTAACAGACCTGAGGAAACGGTGGGATGGAAGGGATGTCTGGCATCCTAGAACATTTAACAGGAAAAAGGCGTGGACGCCTACTCACCACTTGAGAGGCACCGTCTAGAAGGATATCATGGCTAAAAGCGGTCATCTGGCTCATTCGCTGAGTCAATCGATGGAACGCTAGGATCCCTATGGCTGAGACGTACAGGAGCGTGGAAGAGTTCGCGACGCTTTGTGGTAGATGCTGGCGGGTCGACATGGATTTTCCACTCTGGTCTGATAAGGAAGATAAGTCATATGTGGTCCAGGGATCATCGAAGTACGCAGCCGGGTTTGACCAGGCCTTCTATCAAGCTGGGATTAATTAGGTGGTAAAATAATCCACCTTAAAAGATAACTGTGATACCAGTTAAGTGTTACCCGATGAATGGAAGCAATCTCTTATACATGTAGAAACCTTGCAGTTGTTGCGTAGGAAAAATGTTCATTGAAAAACCACAACCCGAATGCAAGTCGAATGATCAAGCACAAACGAAAAGTTGTCAGAATATTTATCCTAATGACATAATTTCGACTTGAAAACTAGTGAAAGCAGTCAGATTTCAGGCATGATTCTTAGCACTTGAGGTATCAAAAGGTTCATCAAGTAGTGCTCGACATCTGGTTACTCTAAAAACATACAAATCTTCTGATACGTTTTCATGAAAAACAGTATAATTACTGCGGGAACTCTTATATATTCCATGTGCTAGATAACTGATGAAAATATGCATTATATGCTCCACGATGATCATTGATTGTCGGAGTTTCCAAAGTTACCCCTATTTTCGAACTGAGCGGAATAATCGAGCGAAACTGATGTAGCCCAAGGGCC